GCGGTATTTTTAGCGAGCGTCCAGTTTTGAGAAGATGTGTCAGTTTGTTTGAGCTTCAGGCGAACTGATGGAGACGACCGGTGACAGCATGCAGAAGTTGATAATGCAAATGAGGGAGCCAACCGCTTCAAGCATCCTCTTGTAGGAAACTTTGAGAAAAGATGCTAATTATCGCACGGAACTTGCATCCAATTATGATAATCTTGATGAATTGTATGCGCGACTAGAGATCAAGCCTGACGTCGCTGATATTGTATTGATCATTGATTAGAAGAGGCTCGATTCAGTCGATAGTTTGAAAATTTCTTTAACGAGGAACATAATAAATGGAAATACATACTTCATTTTTCCTATTGAAATACATTTGTTATTTCTTCATTGTAATTTTTTGTATTTCTAACTGTGATAAAAATTATTATTATATAATAATTTTTTATATTATAATATTTATTACCTTTATTAGTTAATTAAACCTAGTTTTGGATAAATCCAGAGAAGAAGATCGTGAGACTTGGCAGCGTTCACAAAATAACATCAAGCACCTCATAATCATAAATTACCAAATAAACGATCATTTACTGCAAATTTTGTTTATTCAACATTATTTTAAAACTTGTTGACTATCAGGGATAAAAGCACTCAACATGAACCGTCAAATTTACTCGTGCGCAGATAAATTTAAGTGAAATTTCTTGCGGCTGTCAGCACAATCGACTTCTGCAGGCTTCCGGGAGCAGTTCTGTAAGGCTGAATTCATTAATAACTTCCACCTCACGGGAGCGCATTAATAATTTACCACATCAACAACAATCCTGGAAAAATGTTACGTATCTGCTCAGGATAGTCCGATGAGGCTGGAAATACTCCTGACATCACAAGTTAAATCAAAGATAGAGCATTTATACAAAAATATAATATCCAACACAGAAAGAACTCGTATACAAGCAGTCCCTAAAATTCTATTATCAAATTTCATAATTAAAAAAAAATCCGCTAATAGGAAGATAAACAAGTGGGCGTTAGCTTCAATAACAGAGTTAGTTCATGTGAGCCTTAATATAACTAATATGATCATTAATAATTTCAAAGTTACATCTTATTTCTGCACCCACAAATTTGAACAGTAGCTCAAGAAATTATTCCTTGAATGGATAGAAGTTTAAAGCTAGGTACAAGGATTAAATTCTAAATGAAGGAAAAGTAAACTGTTGGTAATTTCTGGCAAATAATCCACTCTATTTCCTCGACTCGTTATTAAAATTAACTTTTGTATTACATCATAAAATATTTTAAATAATAACTAGAACTTCAGCCCAATTGGCATACAATAAAATTTTAATATCATCTAATGAGAACCATCAAAGTGTGAGAAATTCTAACAAATCGTCATTCTGGGTTATTCGGATTATATCATAAAGCTCAATTGCAGTCTCTCAACGCCAGCTTTTCTCGAAACTCTTGATGACAGATACCCACAAAATAAGCCCAGCGAAATTCGTAAGCAAGGGACATAAACAAAGGTGAATTCTGTTCCTGGTATATCTGAGAGGACGTAATCCACAAACCCGCGTTCCATCATTTAAACACACGTCAGCTAATACAGTTGATGTCCGACCAACAAATACCAGCGTCACCGGCAAATCCTTTAATCCTCGCTTTCTGCATAGCCACGTCTAATATTCAATTTAAATTATGTTTTGCCGTGAATTGATGAGCCGTGTTTTGCCTTGAATTTGCCTATCAATTAATATATAACATTTGGACACTACGATTTATTAAAACAGAGGACTGCGATAAACACTTTAGGCTCTAAATGCTAATCACGGCTCATCCAATTGCAGCCACCACCGAAACCATGCGAGTTTTTTGGGACAAACGTGGCCTTGGTTCATGAACTCCGGGTGCAGCGTTGTATGTATATATGGTTAACTACATACATTTGTTACTCCGATTACAATAACTTTGTGCCCCGAAAATGTAAGTAACAAATGTGAAATCGAGTACACGTTTTACGAACCATCATGCGGAAACTTGATTAGATAAGATAATCTTATGAACTTCGTTGCCCGTGCTCTTAGTTTTACGGTTAGAGTTCGTCGTAATTGCAGACGTTCAGCTCACGACGGAGAATTCTGTTTCATCCCCCAACCTGTGTGATAGCTTTCGTGACACTCGATGCCAACACGGACGCTTTTGCCACCCAGTATCTCATTTTAATTAGACACGGATGCTACCGGAACCTTGTCATCAAGATTCTCTTAGCTGACAAAGGGGGCTTAAAAAAGCTTACCAAGTTCAAACAAAAAATTCATACAAAAATTCAAGTAAAACTTGAGTTGCGGATCACAGCCAGTGCCAGTGTCATTTTGCCAGTTCAAGGTAATAATATTGGAATGAAGTAATCATGTGCCATTTTCTTTAAACTCAAGTAAGGAGATACGCGAGACCCGACAATTTGTCGGCTGCTCTCAAACGAGCACAAATATCTCACGCTCCAATTGTCGTTATCACTTGCTCCGTATGCTCTAAGGGCCTTATTAAACTGAGAAAAATATGACTGCAATGTCAATAAATAATATACGATATGAAAATACAATGAAAATCCACCCGGAATTATATTGTTTAGTTAGAGTATGACGAGGTTGAGGAGAAAATTTAAGTTTTTCAAACTTGGTTGGAAGATAGATTATTCTCTTTTTGAACAACCTAAGATAGTGAAGTTTGCGGTTAATGTTCCACTACACATGACATCGACGATACGAATAGCAGCGACGACGTTAACGCATCCGCAAAAAGATGTCAAACTGCCTTGACCGTTGGTACCGTACCGGAAAAAAAAAACTATGCTGCAACACTGCCTACAGGAGAATATTCGCACAGCAGATAACGTTTTGATCACTTCAATTAATAATTGTCTATGAATTTCAAAGACCGTCATGATCACAAATATCACATAAGACGAATAAAAATATTTGATGGCCAACCAATTATATAGTTAAGCAAAATTTTATTCCATAAAAATAGCGCCCAATAACATGAGGTCGCTAAAACATTCCCCGAAGTTATCGTTGAGTTTCAGGTCAGCAAAAAATAAAAAAGTCTTCTCCAATTAAGGAAAGTTCTTCGCAGAGTCCGGAAAAAGCTTCGACGACGACGTCTTTATATTAAAGATGGAAGAGTTCCCGGTATTAAGGGTTCATCTGGCCGTGCGGTTGAGGGTAATCCCGCAGGATTGTGACCAGATTTTCATGATATGAGTAATGCCAACTTTAGCCCTGATTTTCCACCGACACGGAATCGACGCAGGCGGAATACAGAGGGTAAACTCCTACACTCGTATCTCGAATCAAGAGCAGATTCGAGGCTGATAGAAAACCCATACAAGTACGGAAAGAGCATTAATAATAAGAACTAGTATTAGTTTATATATTGGTCAAATATTTTGTTCGGTGATTGTTTTCGTCATGGAAAAACATTCTGAATCAAAGCGAGTTAATGACATATGAATATTTTCAACCGTGACAGTAATCAGTTTCTAGCTAATTCCCAGCTGAAAGTTCACTATAAATAAAACCTACTTGAAAAAAAATTGTAGAATGAAATCGGCATCAAGGGGTGACGTCATCAGTATTCGGTATAACTGTAATGAATCATGGCGTTGTGCATTATGAATCGTCTTGACTGCGGTTATCGGACAGGAGATTAGCTGCAGTCAGACGTTATCAGTGATGGCGGTACGGATCCCGTCACTAATTCACTTTATTACGACCCAGCCTTGAGAATTGAAGTTTTTCACTCATGCATCATTGAATTGAAGTATCTAGCATCACTGACAGCAAGAGTGAACAACGAAATATTTTTCTGGACAATGAACAGCAGTACAATTCAATCGCATTAGGTCCACATAATTTGTACAGGATAAAACATTTGTATTACAATTAATAGTCAGTAACAGTAAAAATATAACAAGACAGAACTTCATGTCAGACGATGATAAGCATTTTGTAATGTTTATTGGCTGTACTGATGATTGTGCTATATAATGAGCCTGAGCAGGAAAGGGAGAAAGCAAGTGGAATTGAGCGGGCGTGGAGTTTGTTTGGCCGTTGCTGGGACGTGGGTTCGTGGGTTCGAAATCACATTTGCATTTAGTTTTTGTCCTGTCCGTCGATTGGATCAACTGGGAAAAACTGAACTTGCATCCAAACTTTAACTGAACTTTAACTGAAGATTAAGAACGAGATGAATCAAGTGGTATTATTATTCGTTTTATTTAGTACATTTATAACATCAGATCTAAACCAAAAAAGGTGTAATTGAAAATTCTTGACTTCCATGCCCCGCAAAGCATAAAAATAGATTTGATATCAAAATTTACCCTACCTAAACCAAACACAGATTATTCAAAAGCCATTTTTATAGAAGTTTAAATATATAAATATGCATATAATTAATGATAGACATCAATTTCTTGAAGCTCTGCTAGGTAATAAAGAAATAATACACTACATGAGGCCCCATTAAAAATATTTTTTTTAGGTGATCGCAGCTTCGCAGAGGGTAAATTATTTACATATTTGGCCCAGCAACGAGGATTCAATTCAAACTTGTGAAGATAATTTTCTGTGGGATTTACGTATTCACGATTGCGGCGCAAGAATTGCGCCGCAATCTTCGCAATTCTTGGTTGTGAAGAAATGAAAAATTTTGAAATAGCTGCGGGTTTGATATTAAATATTCTAAATTACCAGCGAATAGTTCCGACGAAGCAGCCGGGCTAGCAGGATCAGAATGAAATCATTAAATCAGCATTTAAAATGATAACGTTGGTTTTAAATTGCATTGACGCAATGAGGATGATATCATGCACAAAGAACCCAGTCTTCACTATTAATTATTCTATTGATAGCATACATCAGTCGGCTTCTGAGACAAGAACCTTAGCCGATAAAAACATGCACTATATATAAAGATGATAACGCTGATATGGTCTCAGTATAGTTGAGTAAGAGTTCAGAGAAAGAGTTACTCACTTCCCGCCAGGACTACAGTTGATCAGGTAAGTCGTATAGAGAACCTCCTGAACACATAAAGAATTATGGTGATCCAGTTCTTCTTTGTAGGTTTCTAGTTATTCAAAACATGTTCTTACGTTAATGAAAGGATACCTATACGATACATGAATTTTAAAATATAAAGTAAGTCAGAGCTGTATTGTGAATACTAAATTTATAAATAAGAGGTGTCTACGCACGTGCTTCGATTGCTTGGTGTAATCTTTGTGTGTGTGAAAAAAGGTGTGCTGTTCATATTTTATCAAATCAGGGTTAAATATATGTTAACCCTAATTAGACTTGTAACCAGTAACATGATATTGCACTCATTAGCAGATAACGTGCTAATCACATAATGAATTATCACACGATTCAACCAATTTTTTAAATAAGAAGTTCAACAGCTATAATGCTCTGTTCATTAGATTATAGAACACTAATGAAGTAGAGTTATGGTATTCGTTCGCATAGCCTAAAAATAAACAGATAATATGAATCATTATTTAGAACCACATTATATGAATAATACTCTAAACTAAACCTGCCGTTCACTGATGTAAAACACAATAGGTAAGATTTCAATTGCTAATCAAGGATTCACCGGCGCACAAGGAATGAAGCATCAAAAGTAATGCACGCATCATTATAAGGGGAGAATGTACTCTATGTTATCGACGAAATGTAGTTTTCTGTTTTTTATTCTCATTTTTAGAGAGAACTATTTAGCATTAAATGAAGAACCCCAGTGCTTTAGCTCTTTTTCGGTTTCTCGTGAGAGCGTTTCGAACTTTATGAAATGAACATGCATTTGAAATGTACGAAAACATGTATTTGAACATGTATTTAAAATGTATGAACATGTATTTGAAATGTATGAACATGTATTTGAAATGTATGAACATGAGACATGTATGAAATGAACATGTATTTAATTATATCTGTATTTATAGCTCATTATTCGCGTTAATTGCAATATGTTTGTACTCGATTTAAAGCTGCAAAGAAGACGTGTTCAGTAAAGCAACAACCATGGATTATGGATGCATATGAAATACTTTTTGAGTCAGGTCGTTTTGAAATTTTATAAAATGACCATTTGAATAAATATATAAGAAAAACAATATCTATAGCTTTTTATTTGCGTTAAACTGGACAAGAATAAGTCTAAAGACGCGTGAGGGCATCCTCGGTACAAGTAATTGGCAATGGAAAAGCTTGAGGTCTCACAGTATCAAACAATTTTTTCAGCATTTTCTTTTTTTCAATAAATTTTAGTTATTTGGCCCTCCTGAAAACATTTTCATCTTAAAAAGCTATCTTCTCCTATGATTTTCAAGCTACAGCATTGAGAGATACACCATTCGATTTGTAAAGACCAGCTCTAGCCATCATCCGTTCCCTTTTCTGATTTCTTTTTTTTTTATTATATATTGAAGAAATGAGGGGGGAGGCCATATCGAAAAAATTAGAAAAATAAAAATAAACTAAAAAATTTGAAAAAATAACCGGATGATCGCTAGATATGGTTTGACGAATCGAATGGTATTTCTCGCGATATTGTAGCACGTTAATTGAATGAAGAGCTCGATTTTTACAGTACACCCTCTTTTGCCGTTTTCTATGAATTTCACGTTTTATTTCATTTTCTTTCGAAAAATTTAAATGAACAAAAAAATTTTTGATTTATATTCTACATATATAATGTGTACCAAGTTTCAAATAAATTAATCGTCTGTACATAAAATTTTTTTTCTATGTGTACATGTTCTCTTTAAAACGGACGTTCGAAGCTCATTTCTTCCCAATGTTGTATTCTAATCGTGTTTTAATGCAAATATTTAGCCGTCAAATGAGTTGCAAACTCCAACAGAACTCAGAATGAACAACCATGTCACTGCTTTGGTCACGGTTATTCTAACTTGATAATTGCTCAATGAAAGAGAAACCAACCTGCCTTAGGGGTATATTTGATTTAGTAAATCAAGTGAAGGGTTCACCTATTCACCAATCATATCAGAGTGGTTATAATTTCGAGGCCTCTGAAACACCTTCTACTAGAACAAGGGAAATTGATCAGACGTATACAAAATTAACACTGCAATTAAAGGAAAGAATTCAAGAGGTGAAATTCACGATCAATTAATTACTATAGTCTCATTCGTGAATTTAGAAAACTTGCTATTCCAGTTTAAGGGCATTAAGCAGTCAACCAGTTTAAGGGTCTCAGTATCAAGCAATTTTTCAGCATTTTCTTCTTCTTTTTCAATTAATTTAAGGTCCTCTGAAACACTTGAACACATAAGCCCTGAAGACTTAATTAGTTTACAATCAGTAAATATACTGAGAGCAGTGGTTGTATTGAATATAACATAACATAACATAGTGATGTCGGCTCTGAAGTGTAGGCCTGATGTGGCCTGTCGCCGATTCTTTTCCATTTCGTGCCTTGTTCATAGAATCTAAACTCGTGTCATTTGACCGGTCTGAAATCGTTTCGGTACAAAATTCGCGAGATAAGTCAAACCGGCATAGTAAAAAGTGAGAAAGTTGGGACCCGCAAACACTACGTGCGTCCTCGACCACTGCCAGATGCAAACTCTCTGCAAACTCAAATATATTAATGATTTATATGAAAAAATGATTTTTAGATTGAAATCAAAATATTTTGAGAGGGTAATGATAAAGTAACCAATCTTTATGCTGTTTATGGTAATGCAAGACCTAATTTGTTTTGCTTCGTGCGTCTAGTTCATGGGGAACATGTACACCTAATAAAAAAACTTTTCATTTACAGACGCATCATTTTGAAGTTTGGTACACATGTGTAAAACAGAAATCTAAGGCTTTTTTGTTCATAAAATGACGACTATGAATAAGTATTTAAGCGTTGGAATTAATTGTTAAAATCAAGCCAAATTCAGTGGCTACTGAAAACGAATCCTTTGAGTTAACTATGAAGTTAAATAGTGCTTTAAGCATCATTTATTTGGTAGGCGAAGTGAAAAAATACAACGGAGAATTGTTTCAATACCGTGGATCACACAAGATACTAACACATATGACATATACATAAAGCCACTATCGACGTTATCTTGAGTTTCTCAAGTCCAGTCAATATCGTTATCAGCAGAGCTGGTCACTTATCATATGACAGCGAACGCACTGCATGAAAGCCGAAGTTTTATAATACTGCATCAAAAGCCTGAACGAACCCTCGTACGTGACGAGAAATAAAAGCTATAAACTACGGCACCAGTGCTACTCTTTCATCCAAAGTCGCCCAATATCCACTTTCGCAGAAATTCAGCTACTTTCTTTATGAAAGATAAAGTGACATGTTTTTTTTTTCTTTGAGGAAAAAACATGATCAAAAATACAAAGCAAAAAAGGGCATAAGTTCGAATTCGATCTACACTCAAATTAAAATTTACTCTAGCTGTTTATCCAAGAACACTGACCTCCTCACACGCAATTGATGATAACGGCAGTGAGTTATTTCTTCATTAACTGAGAAAGATATGAGCCATATTCTCAACTGCGCTGTCTTCCCATGTTCTTACCTTATCTATCAAAGATTATTGACAGATTATTTTGTAGTGCAATAACAACCGTCATTTTAAACCAGGTTAGTATTTTTATAATACTTGCATTCGGAAGCATACTCTATGAAGTCATGATGTTTCAATTTAATCTTGAACCAAAAATTATCATCGGGAGATGATAATCACCCCGTAACGAAAAAACTGAATTATTAGAAATTCTGACGCCAATAACTATTCGTCGACGAATATTTATATTTTAGAATGTTTTTTTCAACATATTTACTCAAAATAAGGTCACCGTACCGAATTTACATCACTGCGACGTCGTCAACAAATGCTTCAAGAACATCGTTTGGAAAATCTTTATCTTTTTAATGTTTCCAAGCGGCTTTATCTCATGTTTGAAAAATGCAGTTAGACCATACAAGCATATGGTTAATGGTTATATTGCTAAACCTAATACGACTTCATCCAAGCTTTTTCAATTGAAACTCAATGATGAAAAATCTGATTATTGCAGTTCAGATGAACAATTAGGCACTCTTGCATTTAGTATTCATAAAGTGGATTTCCTTTATTTCCAGACACTTTTCAGGACACTTCGTTCATTAATTATATTTGATCGTCAAAATCAACTCAAAGGAAACGCCATAACATTATATTTATATGGCAGATACTTGACGCTTGTTCCAGTTTATCCTGCAAATATAAACACTTCTATTGGAAAATTACTATACCATAAAAATATTATTATAATGAAAATTTTATTACAGAGAGAGAACTCGCGAAGACAACGACGAAGATGGGTTGCATCACAGGTATCGTGGCCAAGTCGTTCTTAATTGCCTTCAACGTCGTCGTGGCGGTGAGTTAGAAGCAATATATAGGTAGTTTAACTAGTTTAATGTAATTTCAGCTTAATGCTAGAAATTACTTGTCAACTAAATGAACATGGAACCACAATCTTTCAAGCAGAAGAATAAAATTTGTGGTAAAACAAGTTCTCAATCTTAATTGTATTGCATGTACTGTACATATATGACAAAAAATGCAGAGCTGAATTAAACTGAAAATCACAATAAGATTGGTCTTACGCCAATTATGCAATGACAAAACCATTTCGCTGTCAAATATCTAGATTGAGATATTCAATTATTCAATACGTAGCATACATCTTGTTTCACCGCCGAAACTTCATCCAATACATTTAAAGTCACGGTTTAGTCCATTTAATAAAATCGTTGACTAAATACCACAAAACATTTTACAAATGACAAAACTGTAACAAGTTCAGTACGTAAAGTAAAAGCAGTAAAAGTTCAGCATGATGAAGAAATCAATGTGGAATCGACAATTTCATTTGAAATTTTCAGGTTTAAACTTAAAATCTTTCCGGCGACAAACTATCTTTTAAAAGTTTCAATGTCAATAGTATACTACCTACCATAAAAATCTTGCACAACGTACAGACCTAGCTGACGTTATCCTGAATAATGATTTAGCATGTGATACAAAAAGCTTAATTCCGAGCCCAAAAACCATATCTGATAATTGTTTTGGCAAATCAAACGGATGTAGTCAAGAATCACAGGCTTGTAGAGTATCGAATGGATTTCCGACCGCGTGCAACATTTGAGGATAATTCGGGTCACACTCAAATATTCATGAGCTGGCTGGCACGAAATGCCAGAAGCTACTCGATCGGAAGGGTTCTGGTAAAATGTATCCCGATATTTCTGCTCAGGTGGCAGCCTTGATCGTACTTACTCTGGCATCCATCGTCCAAAGCACGCTGGAAGGCTACGGCCACGACATCCCCCAAGACGCTCATGACGTCTGCATTGGCCTGATCTCCGCCTCCACCTTCATCATCTGTCTGGGCGCCCTTGGGGTGGTCGTCTCCTGCTGCTGCGGCAACAAGCTCTTCCTATACACGGTAAGTAGTCTTTAGGTCTTGTTGTTGCGGCAACAATCTCTTCCTTTACACCGTGAGTGGTCATTATCTTGGTATCTTGGTATTTGTTTCGGACGTAGCAGTCCCAGGCCACGATGGATCGCCGCCTCTGATTATCGTTCATCCGCCCTCATTTGAGCCACCTGATGCACGATGCTGTTGCTTGCTTCTCGCCGCTGGTAGTGTTGCAGGGGAAGTCGATCTGGGATTGTGCCCAGGAACACGTCCAGTTGTCTCTTGAAGGTCTCCAGGGTGAACTCCCCCTCTCTTAGATCCCTTGGCAGGACGTTGAACAGCCTTGCATGGTCCTGCCACGGAAAGTGATCCTTACCGCAGGGTTTGAAATCTGACTGCGGATCTGTTACGTAGTGAGGGGATCTTGCACAGTCTCTCCCTTCACTCGTTGTGATATGTCTCAATCCTGAAGGTCTCGCTCATGAAGTTTGGCACCATTCCGGTTATCATTTTCCATGTGTACAGAATGACATACCTCTCCCGTCTCCTCTGCAGTGAGTACAGACCCAGGCGCCTCAACCTCTCCCAGTAGTTTGACTCTTCCATCCCTCTGATCCTGGAAGTGAAGGTTTGCTGGACACCTTCCAGTTGCCGCACTGCACCGAGTGTGAACGGGGTCCAGAGCTGTCAGCAGTATTCAAAAATTGGTATTGCAGGAGCTCTAAAGAGTGTGATCGCCGCTGGTAAATCATCGGTTCCGCTTCTCTTCTTCTGAACGTCCGCCGGATCCACCCCATCTGTCGGCTACCTCTTGCGGTTATTACCGTTATGTGATCACCAAAATTGACCTGAGATTCATCAACACTCCTAGATCACGAACGAGTCACTTCTCTTCGATTTCCGAGTTGTCAGGTGCTAGGTAGCGGGGCTCCATACCAGCTCTTTCGCTACCTCTGTATCTCAGAAACCCAAACTTGGTTCCGTTGAACTGCATGTTGTTCACTTGGGCCCAGTCATATATTGCAGAGAGGTCTTCTTGCAACCTCTCGCAGTCCCTTCTGTCCGTTATGATCATTAGTATCCTGATGTCGTCCGCGAATGACGATGCAGAGGCGTGGTTCACAGCCACATCTATGTCGGCGATGTGAATGAGGAAGAGGATTTGGCCGAGTACAGTTCCCTGTGGTACTCCACTCTTCACCCTAGCCTCGCTCGATCTCGAGCCTCCTACAACGAGTCTTTGTAGTCTTTCTGTTAGGAAGCTGTGGATCCATTCCAGCAATTCACCTCCGATTCCCAGTATTCTTAATTTTATGAAGAACACTCCATGGTCAACTTTGTCCTTTTTGGACTTTCGCGAAGTCCAAATACACCACGTCCACCCCGGCTTCCTCCTCCAGCATGGCCAGGATTTGGTGGTGATGCTGCAGTAACTGAGACAAAGAGGAACGATTTCGTCTAAAATCGTGTTGCCTTCTGTTGAAAGGATCAGCGTCTTCCATGTACTGCACCAACCTTCTGGCAACAACCTTCTAAAATACTTTGATTACGTGTGATGTTAATGTAACCTTCCTGTAGTTTTGGGGTTTGTCTCTCGCACCTCCTTTGTAGATAGGGGTTATTAGCCCTAATTTTAGGTCACTTGGAACATTGCCTTCTCTCAATGATGTTTTCCAGAGCAAAGTCCAGAGGGACCTTTAGTGCACCGACACATTTCTTCAGTAATACAGCAGGGACCCCATCTGGCCAGGGAGCAGAATACGTCGATAATTCTTGGATACTCCTCTCTAGATCCGGTGTTTCAAACTCAATGTTCATCAGCTCCCGCCCCCTGGAAGTTCTTGAATGACTCCAATTTCGTTTTCCTGTTTTGAGTATCGGGGTTCGCTGAATACTTTTTCAAATTGCGCTCCCAGAAGTTCGCACATGCCCTGGTCGTCTCCAACAAGGACACCGTTATTTTTCAGAGGCCCCACAGAGGTTCTGATTTTGGCCTTTGACTGGGCATAACATAACATATCATAACATAGTGATCTCGGCGCAGAAGCGTAGGCCTGATGTGGCCTGTCGCCGATTACTTTTCCTTTTCGTGCCTTGTTCACAAAAGATCTAAAATCGTGTCATTTGACCGAATCTTTTCATGACTGACGATAGATTGAAGTAGCCACTAGACTTCCACCGGGTTCGATAAGGAGCTAGGCATTTCAAATCTGAACATATATTTCTACATATTTGTAGAAATATTTGGGATTCTCTCGAATGGCAGACACCGCTTGCGCCTCTGCAATTTGTTGCTCGGCCTCGTGTGGGTCCTGCAACTGTCGTTCAGTTTCCTTAATTTTCTCCTTTAGATGTTCCAGCCTCCGTATCTCCATATTCCTGGAGGCGGCCGTTATCTGATTGTTAAAGCTCGCTCGTTTTCTCATGAGAATCCGTCTGTCCCTCGGAATTATGTGGCGCTTGGGAGCCGTTTTTCCCGGTGTGTGGCGCACGAAAACCAGCAGTAATACTTCGCACAGCTTGTTATACATTGTTTCGGCGTTTAATTCCAGGAACTTAGATCTCCAGTCCATTTCGAGGAGTTCGTTCCCAATGGCGTCCCAGTCTGTTCTTCGATGCTGAAAATTTAGCCCAGCTAGCCCCTCTAGAGGTGTAGGTCTTGGCTGGGTTCTCCTCTCAATTGTTGTCTTGACCACCACTAGTCGATGGTCTGACAGTGTGGTCTCAACACGAATATCAGCAACCAGTTCTTCATTGCTGGTGAAGAATAGATCCAGGATATTATGTTCTCTTGTTGGCACCAGAACCTGTTGACCTAGCAAGTGCTCCCTTGCGAATCGAAGTAGTTGTGTTGCCTGGTCTCTGGCCTGATATCTGCCATTAGGTCTTGCTGCTGCGGCAACAAGCTCTTCCTTCACACTGTGAGTGGTCATTAGGTCTTGCTACTGCGGCTACGAGCTCTCTTCCTCTACACGGTGAGAACTCTTTAGGTCTTGCTGCTGCGGCAACAAGCTCTTCCTCTGCACCGCGAGTAGTCTTTCGGTCTTGCTGCGGCAGCAACAGCTCTTCTTCTACACTGTGAGTAGTCTTTATGTTTTGCTGCTGCAGTAACAAGCTCTTTTCTCCACCCTGTGAGTAGTCTTTGGGTCTTGCTGATGCTGGAGATTTTTTCTCTGTACAGTTGTCTGCACGTTTCTCACACTACAATCAGACTTTATTTTATCACATTACAAGACCAATGTCATCCCATTTAATTTTTCCCAGTGAGGTTAAGTATTAGGAAATATAGCCCTTGGCCAATAGAAAATCAATTCCTGACAACTCTTTAATACTTGAAACTGAACCTCTAAGTAGGTGTTTTTTAAAGGCTAAATTAATGACGCATTACTAAATTGCGATCTGAAACGAAATTCTGTTTAACTGTATGTCAATGATTTTCCTTATCAGCAGTTAACTGCAGGGAATCGTAAAAATTTTACTGATGACGAATTCCATCATAGATATTCCGAACATACGAAGGGCATCCGGAAAGTGGTACCCGTTTGGTAATTGAACAAAAGGAAGTAAATATTAACAAATGTAAACATGTTTATTGAAAAGTACATGCATTTCACTACTTCTCTACATAATCTCTGGACAAATATAAGCATATGTCGTATCGTGTCACGAGTTTTTGTATACCAGTGTCATATGCCTCCGCCGCCAGTGTTTCTGGGATCGGCAAGGTGTACTGCTCATCGATTTCAAGACTCGTGGAGAAACAATCAATGCCATAGCACATTGTGTAACATTAAAAAAATTATACGGCGGCAATTCTAAATCAACGGCGAGGTCTGTTGTCTACTGGCGTCATACTCCGGCACGATGATGCCAGGCCGCATACGGCTCGGATAACACAACTTCTCTATAAATTCAAGTGGGAAACTTTCGACCATCCAGCCTACAGTTCGGACTTGGCTCCTTCAGATTTTCATCTGTTTACGAAACTCAAGGACTTCGTGGCAGGGACAAAGTTTCAAAATGAGGAAGAACGTAAAGAACACGTGACTGCGTACACTGGCGGCGGAGGAATATGACACTGGTATACAAAAACTCATGACAAAATACGACAAATGCTTAAATTTGTCTGGAGATTATGTAGAGAAGTAGTGTAAAACATGTACTTTACAATAAACATGTACTTTTCAATAAACAAATATTAACATTTGTTAATATTTACTTCCTTTTGTTCAATTCCCAAATGGGTACTACTTTCCGGATGCCCCTCGTACAACCACATCTCAGTGGCTTCAAACTTCCTATTGCATTTAATTTTAAATCGGCCAACTGTTTCATATCCTTCAAAATTATTGACCAGTTAAGTCCGTAGATTTATCTGTTTTTTTTTATTTCCCATCAACCACTTTGAAACCATGACTTAGGTAAACAAAATTTTACAGCATTCGAACGGTCGGCGAGCAGAGGAAAAGATCTGATTATGATCATTCAATGAATGCCTACATTTTTAACACGAGAATATTTTTCTTTTTTATATATTCATGTGTTAAATATATATATATATATATATATATATATATATATATTTTAATGTATTCACGAGAATTTATAAATTAATAAATAATTTATAAAACCATTGATATTGAAATGTCAACGATATTTGCGCACTGCATGTTCAATATATAGTAAAGGCATTGAGGCTTATCATCGATTTACCTGTAATGTACATTTAAAGCAAAAATTTAAATTTTGTGCATGTATAAACTATTTGAAAGAATAATGAGCTAATCGTCATGCCCGACTGCGCTGGAATACACAATTAAAACACCAATGACTTCAAATACATACAAGATATCATCTTACGCTGTTTTCAGCAATATTGTTCAGCAATAATTCCTATCATTTGGAACTGTTTCAGTACTTCGTGTTGGGCGTGATTTTGGTGGTCATCACGCTGGTGTTTGCTGGCATGGGCGCCACCGACCTTAAAAACGAGGAATACACAACTTACATTAGAACGCAAATGGAAAATGACACAAAAAACTACAATTTTGTTGCACCAGGAGACTACGAAGCTTCGATTGACAAGATATATACGGAGGTATGTATAATTTTTAGTGGTAATGGCTAGTTGCAAGAGCCTCGATGAATTTTCAAGCGTTTAATGCATGCCAGTTAAGAAGAAAATGATAGTAAATTATTCCATATGGCTAGCGAGATTTACAAATTTTCTATTGTTTTAAACTGATATTTGCTTTCCACCTATATTTTAACGTAGAGAGACTCAAATTTTACTTATATCTCTTTCATTTTAAGTCGATCGATATGTAGAGTAGAATGACAGGAGGTTTCTGGGCTCTTGTCCCAAAGTAAGCCAAATTTATACACATTTCAGAAATACCACGCTGTTTCTTTCATAGATTCCACTACAAGGAATGATTACAAATTTGTAAGGATGGTACTTAGAAGTATCATTGCTAAAAATTCCTAATTCAAGTATTTTAACGTAAAGTATTCATATACTGGTCAATTATAATTGACCTATGTATGCATGAATTCTGCCCGCTTTAAAAGCACATCACGAGCATCAAAATTCTTGACATACACACAAATCTGAAACTGCTTAGAACCAGGGAAGTCAACTGTATCGGAGACAGACATGATAGGAAGTTGTCGTAAAATTTTTGCAAGATTGTGTCACATAACTCTATGAAAATTCGGATGTCAACACAAATTACGCGGTTATTATAAAAAACGACGCTCTTTTTCGTTTATCCGACGCTACTACAGTATATAGTTAGTGTTGATTAGCTGCATAATTCAATTAGCTATAGAAAGCTTCAAAACTGTGCAGTTGTTTTCGCATATTGTACGTGACTTTGTACTCTTTGAAGAAAGTCGACCGTTCCAGAAGTCTATGCGTTCCTTCTGGAATAGTTTTCCGACGACACTCAGGCTACCACTGTACTAAAATCTGTTGATGTCTATGTATACGTTTTCCATCCGATAACTTTTCAGTTTTCAAAGCATTCACTCAAGTTGTCAATGAGAAACCACAAATCGAAGAGAATCCCTGAAAATATGAACCCGTTAAAAGTGTAATAGATTAATTACAACTTCAGAATATTGAGGCAAACTAAGCAAATGTACTAAACGAAAACACTGCAGTTTTATAAGTAAAATATTGTAACGGGTACATGAGTCCCTTCATATTTACAATCATAATATAACAGAAGATGGTTATCCTTTCGCAATCGAATTTTACAAGGTTCCACATGGCTTCTGCTGATTTCCGGGATCCATCTTCCTTGTCGTCATTGGCAGTTCGATCAGGAGTTTCGATTCAGAGGATGGGCATTGGTTGCTGGAATGAGTGGAGTGTAGATGCTGGAACGTCCCAACACGCTCTATTTTATTGTTGCAAAATTTTCCATGCATCTTCAGTGATCGTTTTTATGGATGTTAAAATACTTCAATGCAATGAAACACTTGTAATCATTATGGAAACAAAAATTTCCCTTTCAGAACCAGTGCTGTGGTGTCGATTATTTCTCTACCTCTTACCCAACAGTAAGTGATAATACAACGATTTCTTGAATACATAAGCTATGTGTTTATGTTTTCAACTAAGTGGCGCTTTGCATGTTTTGTTAGCCAAAAAAATAAGACGAGTTTATACATTATCGAATGAAAAATATCCGAAAATTTCAAATAAGAATAAGAAAAAGGTCATAGTGGATGAAAGAGTAGCGACATTTTTCCATTGTGCGGGACGAAAAACGATGACATGCATGTCTCATGTAATATTCCTGAGCTATATCCCACACAATAAAAATATTGTTGTTCCATCTCAAGTCTTGATTTATTAAGTAGTTTTCACGTACGGAACGCGATAAGTTTAATTTCCTAAGGAGCAATATTTGTAAAAAAAACATGTTAATTAATAGGGTCAAAAGTTAACAATTAAGCATGTGCGGTATATTTCGGCATATTTCAGTGGAAACTTAGAAATTAGCTTGAACTATGCTTTAAAGGTGAAAAATAGGCCAAATTATCTTCAACAGGGTTCGAGAGATTTTATTTCTTCTGCTGGATAACTACTATCATATTTCGAGTAAATAAATAGATGTTGAGAATCTGTTAATATTTATGATAAAGCAACTAGAGAATTTTCGGTAAACTTGGATAAATTGCTCCGTCGTTAATTTTCACCATAAAATTCGACATTGACAGACACTTGAATCAAATTTTAAAGTTTGCCAAAAAACTCACAGGTGACCAATGTCTGTACATTGCCACATGCAAAATAAAACACTATACTATTTGCAATTTTCAGTTGGCAGTCGTTTTTGTCGCGATTTTCCACGAAAAATATATAATTCAACACAGTCAAATTTAATGATTTTCGTGCCAACTAATGATTTAATGATGGATTCAACAAATTTCGCGTCACTGTCGTATATAATGATTTTCACTGGCATTTTAATGTTGTAGGGAAAGCTACCGGCTGGATGCTGTAAAGACACAATAGATGTCCAAGGCACAATTTGCAAAGGAACTGCAGAATCAGGCAAGATTTACACACAAGGCTGCTGGGAAAAGTTCACTGACGATGTCATTGACATGGCTGCAGCTACCGTCAACTTCGCCATCTTTTTCGGTGTTCTGCTGGTGAGCATATATTCTAATCAAGCACATTTTAAATTATCATTAAAGGGCTCGAGCTGTAACTCTTTGGTCATTATATGACTGGAAGTCTCAGAAATATTAAATCGATTAAATTTTTTCCATAACACTTGTTCCATTAATGGTAAAGAACAAATCCGGTGAACCGAAGTTGTAACTAGCTTCAGCCCTTTAATATTTTATGTACCGATACTTCTAGCGACTAATTTGCTACTTCAAATTATAATGTGCTATGTAACTACAATAGCTTTCAAGCGCAAAGTGTGAAAATACTCCGAGAGAAAAATCATAACCGCAAAAAAATTCAGTTAAAAGGAGACGAAAATTTAAATTCGGAAACTAAAAACGCCTTTGAATGCAAAATAATAGGGCTAAACACGGGATCGTGAACCAGCATGATTGAGAAGAGGATGAAATGAGGCAATAATTTTTAACCTAATGACTACTTGAAAATTTAACGCATCTCGATTAGTTTTTGGCAAAATCATAGCAATTATTTCCAATGGATACTAATACTAAATTGAAAATCATAGTTTGGGACTAAAAGCAGCAGATTCATGAATGGTTTTCAGTATTCGAGTCATTACAAACCACAACTTAAGGGTGTGTTTTCATCCTCGTAAACGAATAATAATGTGTGGCATATAAAATCAATGCTGAACATTTTTCCTTTTATATCAGTTCCTATTCTGTCCTGCTTAGAATAATTGACTTTCTTAAATTAATTTAATCCGTTGAACACCTAAGATGCCAATACATTGTACGGAAATACAGACTTCATATTTTCCTTCTTGTATGACAGTTCGCGCTGCTGACGTCGACGTGTCTGTGCGTCAAGTGTACCGACGCTATGCCTATTTGAGCACCAGCCGCTGCTTCCGAAACATCATCTCGGTGACGACGATTAATAAAACTACAATAAATTCATGTTAATCGTTTAGAGATAACATACTTATGATGAAATTAAATTACAAATAGATTCGATTTTGCTGTGATTTTTGTGCCTCTATATATCCTCACTAATATAAAACTATGGGTACTAATAGAGCAGTTTTACTTTTCCTGTTCACTTTGAAATGGAATGTGTTGCAGGAAAATAACAAGGAAATTTGTTTATTTGAAATAATGTTTTCTTGCTTAATAGCGAAAGTATATTATATGATAGCCATCAATGGATGTAAGTTAATTGCGATTTTTTCGAATCATTCTTCCCTTCCTTAACTCAACGTTAATCGGCCAGTTTGCTCACCAAAAAAATTGGCTTGGAAAATTCACATCAGAGGTCATTAACAAGCGGATCACACTTCGAAAATCTAATCCGCCAATGCACAGGGGGAATTGTAATCGGTCTATTAAATATTTACCAAATTGCTTGTTTCTTCGTAATGGTAGAACTATAAGATATGTTTTAAATGGATGGAGGGGTGAAATTGAAAAACTGAAGGTGCGAATATTATTCTGAAATATAAAATTCATTCTTTCTCCCAGCTGAAAAAAGTGAGTTTTAGTTAAATGAGTTAAATGTTCGTTGGTAGGCGTGGGCAGACGTGGGTTGAACAGATATATCTAAGCATTACCGACGTTCAAAAAAATTCAACACGATAGGAAGAAATGAATTCTCAAATTTTATAAACTATCGTTCCCAGGCAACGCCAGGTTAAAGTGGTTGCTAAAGTCTCTAATATAATTAATCGCGCTTTATTTGAGTTCCAAATTGGGTGGCACTGTAAAAATGTGGACACTCCATTGCTGATGCATGATATATCTCAGTATTTCGTATCGGCATGTGATGATGATATGCATTTTTATTTATTTTGTAGTATGAGGCATCGTAAGATGAATACTGTTATAAAGATTAACTCTTGATAAACATTTATATAAACCTACATTACTAAATTAACTTATAATGTCTGGAAACCTTCCGTTTTTATACGAAAAGCAGGAAGGTTCGTATAAGGAAGGAACGTATATGTTATACCTGGTTTTCTTTATGATTTAAATTTTAAAGTAATACCGTATTCCTGGTGTAGATAATAACTGAATTTCTTTATGAATTAAATTAATATTCCCTTAACATTTATATTTGATAATTGATGTTTAACATCCCATTACTCGAGGAGCAAATAAAGTATGATCATACCATCATATCATACGTCGATCACAGTAACTTTGTGCCGCGAAAAATTGCGAGGTCGCAACTTATTTCTGGGAATGATTATACTCCAGCACATATAAAAGAATTCAAGTTAAACTAGAGATGCGGATCACATACACCAGCATAAATAAAATTATCAGTAGACATCTTGCCAGTTCAAGGTAATAATATTGAAATGAAGTAATCATGTGCAATTTTCCTTTAAGCTCAAGTAAGGAGATACCCGGCCGAGACTCGAAAATTTGGCGGGTGCTCTCAAACAAGCACAAATATCTCACGCTCCATTGTCAATATAATTCGCTGTGCAGGCTCTCAGGGCCTTGTTAAAACTGATAAAATATGACTGCAATGTCAATAAATAATATACAATTCAGAAATGTCATGAAAATCCACCCGGAAAGATATGTTTAGTTATTAGAGTATGACGTAGTTGAGGAGAAAATTAAAGTTTTCCGAGCATGGTGGGAGGATATATATCAGTTTTTTGAACAACCTAAGATAGTAAAATTTACGGTAAATGTTCAAATTCAAGGTAAATAATGAAAATGCAGTTAATTTTCCATTACGAATAGCATTGACGATACTAATAACATCGACGACGATTAACAAATCCGCAGATAGATGTCAAACTGCCTTGACCGTCGGTTCCGTACTGGAAAACTATGAGAAACATTTTGTAAATAAATCTTTGCATGAAAAATATATGCCTGCAGGAGAATATTTAATTGCACAGCAGATAACATTTTGATCAACACCTCATTAATTGTCTATGCATTTCAAAGACTATCAGCACAAATATCGCATATGACGAATAAAAATATTTTATTGTCAACCAATTATATATTTTGGTAAGATTTTACCCCATAAAAATAGCGCCCCATAACATGAGGTCGCTAAAACATTCCCCGAAGTTATCGCTGAGTTTCAGGTCAGCAAAGAATAAAAAAGTCTTCTCCAATTAAGGAAAGTTCTTCGCAGAGTCCGGAAAAAGCTTCGACGACGACGTCTTTATATTAAAGATGGAAGAGTTCCCAGTATTAAGGGTTCATCTGGTCGCGCGGTTGAGGGTAATCCCGCAGGATTGTGACGAGATTTTCATGATATGAGTAATGCCAACTTTGGCCCTGATTTTCCACCGACGAGCGATCGACGCCGGTGAAATACTGAGGGGAATTTCCTATAATCGAATCTCTGCAAGAGCAGATTCGAGGCTGAGACAGTGGCGGAAATGGCTATACGACCACCCGGTTTTTTCTGAATATTTTTTCTTGCATAAAAAATACTGGATTCTAATTATACGAGGCTAAACTACGTTTAAAAATGATTCCATCGCTATACGAAAAAATAATCTTTTAAAATATATGAGGAGAAATGATGAAATTTAGAAAAACCTAGGTGGAAATGGTTATAGACCGTGATCAGATTTTCTTGATTTTAGTATCATTCAGTAATATTTTCACGTTAGAAAGTACAGCAACATAAAGAATATCCTGATTATCGCCATTTTTGGTACTTCCGGTGTAGTTCAGTGTCCATTTATATTTTTTTGAAGTAAAGAAGTTGCCAAAGGGGACAAGACTCACAGAGGCCGAGAAGGCGCCGATTTTGCCCTTTGCGAAATGCGGCAGTGGCCAACGGGACATCGCAAAGGAAATAAAACTCTAAAAAAACCGTTCTACAATCATTTTTTGCTAATTCGGACGGCTACGGATCGAAAAGGCACTCTGGACCAACCTCAAAATTAACCGACAGGGATCTTGGGCGACTGTTTTCAGAGGCTTCTAAAGCTGATGCTACCTCTACTCTATAAAATTGGCCACTGGAGTTGATGTAACAGCACAACGCATCAGTCAGATATTGCATGACTCGAAGAAATTCAAGTACATGAAGCGGAAAAACGATCCTACGCTCAAACAAAAACATATTATCAACCTACTAAAACTAGCTGAAAAGGATGTGCTTATCGGTGAGGGATTATCTTCAGTGATGAAAAAAGTTCAATCTTGATGGTCCAGATAGATGGCAATGCGATTGGCACCACCTGAACCGTGAGCCTCAATTTTTTTGAAAGCGGCAATCTGGTGTTGGTTCGGTCATGGTGTGGGGGCGTTCAGCCGAAAGGGAAATCAACTCTAGCTATTTTGCGAGGGAGACAAGATTCCGAGGTATACAAGTACACGCTATTTCACCGTCTTCTCCCTTTTACCGATGAGAAACATGAGGGATCATTTTTTTCCAGCAAGGCAATGTTTCGATTCAAACTTCAAAGTCACCAAACAAGTGGTTCCAAGAACAGAATGCTACCCTGTAGCCGTGGCCAACGTTTAGCCCTTACCTCAATACCATAGAAAATCTATAGGCATCATGGCGAGAGATGTTTACCAAAATGAGTGCCAGTTCCAATCTGTGAGTGACCTGAGCGCGGCTATCCTTCATTCCCGGGATAAAATTCCGTAAAAGACTCTGTTTTATTTGGTAAATCACATATGAGGAGAAGTTTCATTGAGGCAATTAAGGCGAAAGGAGGTATGATTGCCTATTAAAACGAGTATATAGGATCCATAAACGGAAAAACCTTTCATGGTCTTATAACCATTTCCACCTAGGTTTTTCTAAATTTCATCATTTCTTCTCATATATTTTGAAGAAAATTTTTTTCCGTATAGAGTTGGAACCATTTTTAACCGTAGTTTAGCCTCGTGTAATTAGAATCCAGTATTTTTTCATGCAAGAAAAAATATTCAGAAAAAACGGGTGGTCGTATATATATAGCCATTTCCGCCACTGTACATTTCTGAACTGTACCCATACAAGTACAGAAAGAGCGTTAATGATAAAAATGGTATTAGTTTATATATTAGATAATTTTTTACGGTGATTGTTTTCATCATGGACAAATATTCAGAAGCAAAGCGAGTCAATGACATGTATGAACACCATTATATATTCAACCGTGTCATTAATAAGTTTTTAGCCAATTCCCATCTAAAAGTTTACAAAGAATAAGTCCTTCTTGAAAAGAATTGTAGAACAATCGGCATCATGGGGTGACATCATCAGTATAATTAATCATGGCGCAGTGCATTATGAACCAGCGTGACTGCGGTTATCGGACAGGAGATTAGCTGCAGTCAGACGTTGTCATGCAGTGATGGCGGTACGGATCCCGTCAATAATTCACATTAATTCACATTAGTACGACCAAGCCTTGGAAATTGAAGTTCTTATATCATCACTGATAGCAAGAGTGAACTACGAAATATTCTCCTGGACAATGAACAACAGTACGATTCAATCGCACCAGATCCACATAGTTTGTACAGCATAAAATATTTATATTACACTAGTTAGTAACAATAAAAATGTAACTTCATGTCAGATGATGATAAGCCATTGTATTGTTTATTGGCTGCCCAAACAAATACTAAGGAAACTAAGGCTTTATAATTGGTTGTGCTACATTTTCAGTCTGAGTAGGTGACAGTGCTAGGCGTGAAGTTCGGCCGTTGCAATGACGAGGGCTCGTGGGTTCGAATAGATTCATTTGTATTTAGTTTTGACCTGGTTCGTCGAGGGCATCACTTGGGGAAACACTAGGACAAAGAATTAGATGAATCAAGTGGTATTATTATTCGTTTTATTTAGTACATTTATAACATCAGATCTAAACCAAAAAAGGTGTAATTGAAAATTCCTCGAGTACTTACAAAGCCCCGCAAGGCATGAACAGAGTGTTTGATAGCCATAATTAGCCTATAGTCTATCATAATTAATGATAACCATCAATTTCTTGAAGATATGCTAAGTCATAAAGAAATAATAAACTACAGTGAAAACCATTAAAAAATAATTTTTTAGGTGATCGCAGCTTTAGAGAGGCGTAAATTATTTATTTGGCCCATCAACGAGGATTTAGTTTTAAATTACGAAGATAACTTTCTGTGGGATTAACGTATTCACGATATGGCAAGCACCGCAATCTTCGCAATTCTTGGTTGTGCAAATGAAAGCGTTTAATAAATAGTTGAGGGTTTGATGTTAAATATTATAAATCACCAGCGAATAGTTCCGATGAACCAGCCAGGCTAGCAGCATCAGAATGATATCATTAAATCAGCATTACAAATTATATCATTGCTTTTAAATTGCATTGACGCAATGAGGATGACGTCACAATGAGCATTGCCACAATGAGGATGACGTCAGTCCTAACGAAATATTAATTATCCTAGTGATAGCATGTATCAGTCGGCTCATGAGACAAAAGCCTGAGCCGATAAAAGCATGTGCTATGTATAAAGATGATTACGCTGATATGGTCTCAGTATTACTGATTAAGAGTCCACAAAAAGGACTACGTGTGATGACAGACTCACTTCCCGCCAGGACTGCAGTTGATCAGGTAAGTCGTATAGAGACCCTTCTGAACACATAAAGAATTGTGCTTATTCAGTTCTTTTTTGTAGGTTTCTAGTTATTCTAAACATGTTCATACGTTAATGCAAAGATATGCTATAGTTAAATTTTGACATATAAAGTAAGTCAGAGCTGTATTGTGAATACTAGATTTATAAATCAGAGGTGTCTACGCGACGTTCTTTGATTGCTTGGTGTAATATTTGTGTGTGTGAAAAAAGGTGTTCTGTTCTTATTTTATCAAATCATGGTAAAATATATGTTAACCCTAATTAGACTTGTAACCAGTAACATGGTATTGCTAACTATCATTAGCAGAAAACGTGCCAATGATATAAAGAATTATCACGGGATTCAGCCCATTTTTTCGAAAACATATGACGTAAAGCGAAGTTTAACATTTTATATTTTGTTTATTAGATATACATGATATGTATATCTAATAGAATACTAATGAAGATCTAATAGAATACTAATGGTATAGAACACTAATGAAGTATAGAGTTATGGTACGCGTTCGCATAGCCTTAATATCAACAAATAATATGAATATTTATTTAGAACCATATTACACAAATAATACTCTGAACTAAACCTGCCGATCATTGATGTAAAATCCAATAGGTAAGATTTCAATTGCTCATCAAGGATTCACCAGCGCAGTTATGCACGCATCATTAAACTAGTCGTGCGAAGCTCAGCTTTTCCCAATGTTGTATTCTAATCTTATTCGAATGCAAATAGTTAGCCGTCAAGCAAGTTGCAAATTTCAATAGAACTCAGAATATACGTTACACAACCATGTCACTGGTTTGGTCATGGGTATTCTAATTTAATAATTGTTCAATGAGAGAGAAAACCTGCCTGCATTAGAATTAGTAGATCAACTGAAAAGTTTACCAAGAGATCGCAATCATATCAGAGCGGTTATAATTTCGAGTCCTCACACCTTCTAAACACCTTCTACTAGAACAGATAAAATTGATCAGTCGCACACAAAGCTAACACTGCAATTAAAAGTAAGAATACAAGAGACGAAATTCATGATCAATTAATGACTATGGTCTCATTCATAAATTAAAAACTTGCTATTCGGCTATTCCATTGTATAATTAGGGTGGCCCCAACGCCAGCGCACATTAAATCAGCGTGAAATCAAAGGTTATGATGAATATTAATAAGTATCTAAGGTTTAGAATTAATTGTCAAAATCGAGCCAAATTCAGTTGTAAGTTACCGAAAACGAATCCTCAGAGTTAATTATGAAGTTAAACAGTGGTTTAAGCATTATTTATTCAGTTGGTGAAGTTAAAAAATACAACGTGGAATTGTTTCAATACCGTGGATCACACGAGTTATTCATATACATAAAGCCACTATATCGACGTTATTTCGAGTTTATCAAGTCTAATCAATATCGTTACCCAGTCAAAATTCAGATTCCATTCTGAGACGCCCCGCGGGTCCCATTGTCTCGGCTTAGAGGAGAATCATATGAAAGTCGGCCATCTTGTCTATTCTTGCCTATTCCGGTGCTAATTAGGAGCTTAATGCGGGAGTATAGATTGCAATATGGGCCGAATCTGCGTACTGTAACCAAAAAGAGTAGTTGGTCAAGCTGTCTTATGTCAGATGCCGATATATAAGCGAACCATGACCATCTCCCGTTAATGTACTGGCGTATGGCCAATGTATGCACGCGCAGTATGTATGCACAATGCACAATGTATGCACGCGCGAACGTTTGTTAATTCATACGATGGAACGAAATAAGAATTGACTTTACAAATTCTTTGAGCTTTCGTGGTTCTTAGATAGTAATTTCATTAATTCTATGACAAAAATATCTGAATTTATTTTGTTGTATTTAAAAACAACAGTCTGTTTGAAGGTATGGAAACATTACGGGGTGCAAGAGAAGAAAAATACTTGATAAGTACTTGGCAGTAAAAAATTTATGCTTGTAGCTCCAGGAGATGTATTTCGAATCCTAGTCATAATATACATAACTAATATGTAAACTATTAATTGAAACGTTGCAGCCATGGCGCTAACTTGCCGGCGGCAGTTCTCGCTTGTTACTTGTGTTGGTGAGATGTTGAACGATGCATACTGCTCATTTCACTTGTGTAATTGTAGTGTTAAAAGCGAAGAATGTGACTTCAAAATGTTAAATTTATAAAACTGAACACTTCTGGTAAAACGAGTTTCTTAGTTTTACTGCCCAAGGCTTCTCAAAGTGAAGCTTGCTTTTTTGGAACCCGGCACCGGGATGAACACTGAGTGAATAATGGACATCGCGCCATTCTAGAACACAGAATTGAGCATCCAAGATTTTGACAATGGCAGTAATGGAAATTTTTAACTTGTGGTATATGTTGGTGTGAGCGTGTTATTTCAGCTGCTCGTGTCCATATGCTTCAGGTTTATTAATTTCTAATTCATCGAGAAAGCTGGATCAATTTGCAGAAACTTCAATTAATAGTCGAGTGCGTGGCTAGGTTAAAAGTCATTGCCAACGAGCCGCGAGCCGCTGCGAAGGAAACACCTACAGACAAGGATACAAAACGAAGTCGTAAGTTAGCAAGTTGCTCATTTTCCGTGATTATGTGTTTTTTTCGCTTTATCATCGGGTTTGGTACCAGAGTGAAATCGAAGTGAATGATTTTCGAAAAATTACAAATTAATACAGGGTAAATTTCTGAATTTGACATAGAACATGCAGTGTTGCAAAGGTTACAAATTCCAATTGGAATTTCGACGGTAGAAGTAGTTCTTCTCATATTTACAGACACTGTAGGCAAAATTTTATAGGCTCGTGCAAAGCGGTTCGTTGGACGTAACATACAAGTGATATGTCGTGAAATAAATAGATCCTCCTGCTGCTGCGCGCGTATTTGGTACCTGATACCTTCGCGACAGACACGGCCGAATCTGAAAAGTGCAGGGAGTAAAAAATGCCCCTCCCTTCCCCCCTTATACTGGGGGGAAGGAAGGGGGTATTTGAATCGCTGAACAGACTAGACACGTATCACCGCGGCACAATGAAGCAATTGGCAAGTAAATAGGAGTTTGACAAAGGAAAAATATCAGTTAATACAAATTTCGGTATTACTTTAGATTAAGTGCATCTAAAAAAGGGTGTTTTTTTAATTATATGTTTTTTGGGGTGTAGATTAAGAATCTGAAATCCGTTTTTGGCGGTCGGCATCGGAAATTTTTAATGGAACCTGTACCTAACTGGACCTAACCTGCGAGGTTTTCGTTGATTGGCTAGGTTTTTCCGGCCGCCGGACCGACTCCAAACATAGAAAAAACCTGATACACGCTGATTTCGTGTATCATTTTATCATTATACTTTTTAACATGAAACTACCCAAATTAGCTCCTATTTGGTGGCTGAATAGAGGAGACGGCCATCCCTATCGAAATTCGAAGACCTGTCAGCCGCTGGCACACGGACGCCCCAAGTTCTAATGGCAGTGTAAATTAGAAGCTCTATATGTCCGCTTTAGGTTCCGGTTGCCGGAGCGAAATAAGAGCCGAAATAGAATCTTATGAAATTCCTGTCGAGCTTGGGGCGATCGTGGGGCGCGTGTATTTAGTACCTGATACGTTCGGGACAGACACGGCCGAATCTGAAAAAATGCGTTAAAAAAAATGCCCCCTCCCTTCCAATATTGCTGAGCTCGATGGAAATTTCCTGAATCTATCCTCGTATAATTTGTAGTTCTTCAGAAATAACCAAATTCATCCTTATACTTAAATGTAACTCCACAATGAAACCTGATGATACAACGAAATATAGTAGATAGAACAGAACAAATGCAACTAACTTACTTGAGAATAATCGGTATACGCTCTGCAACCTCTTCCATCCTGTTCAGCTGGCCCGCCTAGTGGTGTCGAGTCACTCGAGTGTTGTCTGTCGGTTAGGTAGCATCGTAGGCAATGATAAACTTTCGAGTTTCGACTACACAAATAGATCCAGTTGATGTGTTGATTTAGAAATTAGAACCTTAAGCATATAAACAGGAGCAGCTTAAATAACATGCTCGTGTCGACATGCCCAAAGTTGAAAATTTTGAACACACAAATGCGTAGTCATGATGAATGTCGCCTGCCGACGAGAACTTGAGAAGTACCTATTGCAGCGAACTGATCAAATAACTGATTTAAGCATATTCCGCATGAAATCTCTTATTGTCGAAAAAATATCTTGCATCGTATAATTGCTGCGTTTGAAAGATACACCATACGATGTGAAAGATACACCATACGATACAACTACATCTTATTAATAAAATACTCGTAGGAAAAACTAACATATTTTCCTTCATAATTTAAATTTTCCAGTCAAATACGTCATAATTTAAGGAAGGCAACACAATCGAAAAGTGAGTGTTAATCTTAACAAAGTCAAGTTACTGCAGTAGCTTGATTGCAGTAAACAGCCATCCGATCACACTCAACAGGAGTCGACTATTTTTTTTTGCATTGGAAGAGTTGAGCTCTAAAATTAAATTCTTTCAAGCTTTCAAATTATCAAATGCACTCTAAATTCCTGGATGGATAACCAAAATTATAACGGAATATACTATAGCCTAGTAATGTTAAATCAAATAAGTTGCTCACAAATTGGATCCCGTTTAAACACGTTCACCCTGCCTTCTTGTACGCGATAGTTCACCGATACGACAGTTGGGGCAGCGAGAACGTTCTTGTACCGCACTGGACCAGTCTTCAGAGGTGGTCGGAAATTACGACAAACGTTCTTATGCAATCTTCATAAATTAAGCTGTTGGCCGTAGGGATGCTTAGAAATTTTAATTTAAAGCATATCTGAAGAGCTACATCTTTAGCCGCTCAAACAGACATATACTCAAAGCTGAACATTTCTATTATAGCCACTAGCCATCATTATTTTGTGGGCTTGAAGAACAGTAATCTCCAAACAATTCGAAATCAAGGACTTCCACAAGCACTCAAAATATTCATTTTCATCCTGTTCAATGTTTACAAGTGCAATGGTATTTACCATCAAATTGTTTAAAGCTCTCTGAGGGAGACAAAACTATACCTTTTCGATGAGCATTGAGCAATGAACACTCTTCACTACGTACTGATCGATTCACGGTTTGTTCTAAACTGCCGCCTTCCTATTGATTTGCTGCAACGGCTAATGCTGTCCGTATGGGGGGTGCGGGAGGTAGACCTCCACATACCCGCATACCCCCGTATGGCGGGAATTTCGATGGTTCATGCGTTTACCCTGTTCAGCATCTGACCAGCCCCATCATGCGGTAGCGTCATCAGCGTTTGACCAAGGGCATCATGACGAAGCTTGACCAGCTGCTCTTTTTAATCATATTACGCAGATTTGGCCTACCGGGCAATTGACTTCCAAAAGAGGCTGGTAAATAGAAGCAAAACAACCTACGTTCCTCTCTATATAGTTCCTCTAAAACAGTGGTTCCCAAACTTTTTCAAGCTGGCGCCCCCTTTGGCTCCCTAGCGAATTTCTAGCGCCCCCCACAGACATGCGCCTTTTTCTTGAAATTTAGTACGCTGCAATTTTAAAAGAGAAAGGTTAAACACAAATGTGTATTTCACAAATAGAACCCCATTTAGTGAACCAATATGTTTTTCAGCTGTTTCAGCACAAGAAACAGGACGTCTCGGGCCAATTTACGGCCGGACTCGTGGCCGGTCTCTCGACTAATCTCCAAATTCAGTTATCAAGTAGTATCTCCAAAACTAATGAACGCAGCTCTATGAAACTTGGAACATGTATTCATCAGAACCTAACGGTGTTATTAAGCTTGTAATTTTTGTAAATGACATGAATGTCACTTCCATTCGTGAGTTACGCGTATATTGCGAAACAGGCCGAAATTCGCAGTGATCAAAGAATTTCTTCCAAACTATTGAACAGATTTGAACGAAATTTTGAATATGCATTCCTAACTACCAAACGGTGATTTTTTTAGCTTATAATTTTTTTTTTAGATTTTACCTTTGTTTGCGAGTTTTTTTTTCATTTCACCGTCATTCTTGATTTCACACTTCCCTATATTCGGCCCGTATCGCCGGGTAATTTGTCACTTAAATTCGAGGCGATCAAAAAATTTCTTCAAACTACAGAACAAATTTCAATGAAACCGTGTATATAAATACCTAACCTCTCGACAGTGATGTTTAGCTCGTGACAATTTTTTTATTTTGCTTTCGTTCGCGAGTTGTACAGATATTGGAGGAACGACCGGCTTTTCTACCGGCCGGTTTAACCAAGAGCCGTATAAGGCCGTTTAACTGGCAAACGAAGGCAAAACGAAAAAATTGTAAGGAGCTAAACATCACCGTAACGAGCTAAAAATCACCGTTGCTGAGGTTAGGTATTTAAATACTAAGTTTCGTTCAAATCTGTTCAGCAGTTTGGAAAAAATTTCTTGATTATTGCGAATTTAAATAAACACGTATTGCTGTTTAAATCACGAATGAAGGTGAAAAAAACTCGCGAACGAAGGCGCAATCGAAAACATTTTCAAGAGCTAAACGAGTTTGGAAGAAATTACTTGATCACTGTGAATTTTGTCCCGTATTGCCGTATAACTATGACAAAAACAAACGATGACAAAATTCAAGCAATTTTCACGAGCTAAACATTATTGTTAGGTCCTAATGAATACGTGTACTAAGTTTCATCGAGTTAAGTTCATTAGTTTGAGAGATATTCCTTGATCATTGAATTTGGCAATTGACCGTGAGACCGGACGCGAGTTCGGCCGTTAATTTGTCCGAGACGTAAACCCAGGAGAGGCTAAAAAAACAGATCTGTGTGACAAAACCATCGCTGGGAGTCATGTGCTGCACGTGTTGTGTACAAATCGTCAAACAAACTTTCGAACTTCTGACTTCGACTTCGGATTGTCGCCCCCCTATCGCCCCCCAACCGCCCTCTTCTTCCTTACCGCCCCCCAAAATCTTTCCATCGCCCCTAGGGGGGCGATATCGCCCACTTTGGGAACCACTGCTCTAAAACGACCTTAATCGGCACGAAATTTTTGACAGGGATTTCACGTCTGACTCATTTCTAACTCGAGAGTGGCAACCGAAATCCGACCGACAGCTGCTTCTAAATTTTGACTGGGTACATTCCTCACACGCAATTAATGATAGCGGCAGTGAGTTATTTCTTCATTAACTGAGAAAGATAAGAGCTATATTCTTAACTGCGCTGTCTTCCCATATTCTAACCATATCCATGAAAAATTACTGACCCATCGTTTGTAGTGTAATAACAACTGTCATTTTAGACAGAGGTTAGTATTTTTATAATACTTGCATTAGGAAGCATACTTCTGAAGTCAAGATGTTTCAATTTAATTTTGAACCAAAAAATTATCATAGGGCGATGGAATCCACAACGAAAGAACTGAATTATTGACCATTCTGGCGCCATAATAACTATTCGTCAACAAATGTTTATATTTTAGAATATTTTTTCTAACATATTTACTCAAAATAAAGTCAACTTAACAAATTTACATCACTGTAACGTCGTCAAAAAATGTTTTACGAATATCGTTTGTAGAATCGTTATCTTTTTAATGTTTCCAAGCGGTGCTATCTCCTGTTAAAAAATGCATTTAGACCATACAAGCATATGATTATATTGCTAAAGCCAATTAGATTCCATCCAAGCTTTTTCAATTGAAACTCAATAATGAAAAATCTGATTATTGCAGCTGAGATGGACAAATACGCAATCTTGCAATTAGCTGAATATATACAGTGAATTTCGTTTATTTTCAGACATTTTTCAGGGCACTCCGTTCATTAATTATATTTTATCGTCAAATTCATCTTAAATGAACGGAATTATATTTTTATGGCAGATACATGACGCTTGGTTCAGTTTATTCTGCAAATACAAACATCTATATTAGAAAATTATTCTATTAAAATTATTATTATTATGACAAATTTATTCCAGACAGAGAACTCTCGAAGACAACGACAAAGATGGGTTGCATCACAGACACCGTGGCCAAGACGTTCTTAATTTCTTTCAACGTCGTAGTGGCGGTGAGTTGAAATCGGTGAGAAGGATCAAATTTGTTTAAATTTCAATCTTAATTCTATTATACTGTATATGAAGAGAATATGAAAAGCTAAATTGAAATGAAATTCGCAATAAAATCTTACGGCAATTATGCAATGAAATTTTACCATTGCATAATTGGTGAACCAAATTACCATTTATTACCAAGTATCTCGATCGAAATATTCAATCATTCAATACATAGCCAAACATGCATTTTGTTTCACAGCCGAAACTGCATCCAATATATTTAAAATCGCGTGTCCATCCATTTAATAACATCGTTGATTAACAACAAAAATATTTTACAAATGATAAATCTATACCAAGTTCAGTCCGTAATAGCAGTAAAAGATCAGCATTAAGAAACAATGAGGAATCGACAATTTTATTTGACATTTTTAGATTTAAATTTTAAATTTAAAATCTTTGTGGTGAAAGACGATCTTTTCAAAGTTTTAATGCCAATAGTATACTATCATAAAATTTTTGCACCCCGTACAGAATAATGATTTAGCATGAGAGACAAAAGCTTAATTGCGAGCCCAGAAGCCATAACATAAAAATTGTTGTGGTAAATCAAACGGATGTAGCCAAGAATCACATGGCTTATTGTAGGGTGTCGAATGGATTTCTGACCGCGTGCTCCATTTGATGACAATTTGGGTCACACTGGCTGAACTGAATTCATGAACTGGCTGGTACAAAATGCCAGAAGCTACTCGATCAGCAGGGATCTGGTAAAATTTATCCCGATATTTCTGCTCAGGGGGCAGGCTTGATCGTACTTTCTCTGGCATCCGTCATTGATAGCACGCTGTCACGCTACGGCCATGACATTCCCCAAGAACCTCATGACGTCTGCATTGGTCTGATATCCGCCTCCACCTTCATCGTCTGTCTGGGCGCTTTTGGGGTGGTCATCTCTTGCTGCTGCGGCAACAAGCTCTTCCTCTACACTGTGAGTAGTCTTAAGGTCTTGCTTGCTGCTGCGGCAACAAGCTCTTCCTCTACTCTACACTGTGAGTAGTCTTGAGGTCTTGCTGCTGCGGCAACAAGCTCTTCCTCTACTACACTGTGAGTAGTCTTAAGGTCTTGCTGCTGCGGCAACAAGCTCTTCCTCTATACCGTGAGTATATATAGTCTTAAGGACTTGCTGCCGCGGCAACAAGGCCTTCATCTACACTGTGAACAGTCTTTAGGTCTTGCTGCTACGGCAACAAGCTCTTCCTCTATACCGTGAGTATATATTGTCTTAAGGTCTTGCAGGTGCGGCAACAAGCTCTTCCTCTAGAGTCTAGACTCTAGAGTCTAGAGTCTAGACTCTAGACTCTTTCAATTATTTTTGCAATTGTAACTAATTCATAAACCAATTGATATTTAAATGGCAACGAGATTTGTGCAATATATGTTAAAGACATAGAGCTTATGATGAAAGTCGAATTGTAAAACATGGTTACCTGCATTTGAAGAAATAATTTTATTTTTGTTTCTGTAATTCCGAGCTAGCGGTGGAGCTGGACGCCTAAACGTTCTCCATAGAGATACAGCCAATTTTTGTTTAGGTAATTTTTTTTAATTTGAATTTTTAACTGTTTGAACGAATGATGAGTTGATTGCCATACAGGATTTCGCTGGCATAAACAAAGAGAAGGCCAACGACTTTGAATACATACAAGATTTCAGCTTACCGCAGTTTCAGCAATATTGTTCAGTAATAACATAACATAACATAGTGATGTCGGCGCTGCAGAAGAGTAGGCCTGATGTGGCTTGTGGCCGATTCTTGAACTTTTCGTAACTTGTAAACAGAAGATCTAAAATCGTGTCATTTGACCGGATCTTTTCAAGACTGACGATAGTTTGAAGTCGCTACTAGACTTCCATCGGGTTCGATATGGTGCTAGGCGTTTCAAGTCTGAACATATATTTTTTCTATAACTTTATCTAGTCAGTTCTTGAACGCGTTCATACTCGGAGCGCCAACGACCAACTCGTCTCTGCTTATATAGCTATCATTCAATATCAATAATTCCTATCATTTGAAAAAAACATTTTCAGTACTTCGTGCTCGGCGTGATTCTTGTGGTCATCACGCTGGTGTTCGCTGGCATGGGCGCCGCCAACATCAACAACGAGAAATACAAAAATGACATCAGAGCGCAAATGCAAAATGACACTGAAAACTACAACTTTGAAAAACAAGGAGAATATGAAGCTTCGATTGACCAGATATATCAACTGGTATTTAATATCCTGATGAATTTTCCGCCTTTAATTATAAGCCAGTAAATGCAGGTTTAAAAGTTAGTTTATTTCTTAGGACTGACAATACTCATATTTGATAATGTTTTTTTCACGTCTATCTCATTCTAAGCCGATGATCATTAAGAGCGGGTTGAATTTTTCTGCAACTTTTACTGTCATTACAAAAGTAATTTGTACATTCTAATATATAATTTATTTGATGTTGAAATACTTAGAAGAAATTGAATAGTTGCTTTTATTTTCCCTATTGGAGTTTTCCCTTTTCAGAACCTATGCTGCGGTGTCGATTATTACAACATCTCTTATCCAGACGTAAGTAATAATATAATAATTTTAACAGAACATAAACCATTTTGAGTTTATTTTTTAATTAAGTGACGCTTCGCCTGTCTTCATCAGAAACAAAATGGTGATATTTTAAATTTCACGATGATTTCTGCATTTATTTCTGAAACTTTTCATGTAGGAAAAATTAAGGGCTGTTGAAAATTTTCGAGCATTGATATTTTTCTATTGTGAGAGTTGGGTAAAGGACGATAGATTTATCCGTCTTTGGAACTTTATTTCTCGAGTTTTTTTACGCAAAAAACAATGGTTAATTCAGTTTTTGTATTGTCCTTGAAGCTATCACGAAAAAAATGTGATAAGCCTGCATTTCTTGATCCATGATTTTTCCACAGATTAAGAACTCGCAGATGCTATCTATTTTTTAATGCATTCTGTTGCCAATGTACTCCATCATAAATACCGAATTGTAAGTCGTAACACGATAAGTAGCTTGATTCAAAAGGGTTTACCAAGTTCTTTCAGCTAACTACTCGTACTTAGTCTATCATCTTCCGAGTAAAAAAAAAATCAGCGATAAACCTGGATATTTCTGTATTTAATCAAATGGAGAATTATCGTGAGATTTTTATTAATTACCCTAGCGACGACGCTTATTTACCATGCATATGTAAAATGATTATAGATAAGCTTTTATATTGAATATAAAAAAATTATCATAACATAATAACATTATATCATTTTTCCGTTCTAACCTGCATGATGACTTCCAGATGATCAATGCATGAACATTTTCACACTCAAAATCAAAGAAAGTACTTTGACGATTTGCTGTCGTCACTGTGTCTTTCTGTCGCAACTTTCCTTGAAGCATCTATATTTCAACATTGCTATATACAATTGAATGTTGCAGGGAGAGCTACCAGCTGGATGCTGTAAAATATATGTCCCAGGGAAAGTTTGCACAGCAGATCGAGAAAACATTTACACCCAAGGCTGCTGGGTCATGTTTTCTAGTGTAGTCAGCGACATGGCTGTAGCTACTGTGAACTTCGCCATCTTTTTCGGTGTCCTGCTGGTGAGAATACCTTAAATAAATTTTTAGTTATTATTATTGTTATTATTCATGGTCATGAGTTATTACTCTTCGGTGAGATCGAGATCGAAAAAGTATGAGAAATTATAAATCGATCGATCCATTTTCCAAAGCACCTATTCCGACGAAGAGAAGTTACAACTGGCTTCTAGCAATTTATAGTGCAGAACTACTTTTAGCGACAAATTTGAAACTTCAAGTTATTTGTTTTCTATTTCACTATAATTATTCTTACATTCAAATTGGACTTGAAACATGAGTGGAACGTCCAAACCTCAAGTTAAACCCCCCCCCCAAAAAAAAAAAAAACATAAGATATAAAGTAGACAAAAATTATCGAGCAATATCAGCATAAGCATAAACAATTTTCAATATTCAGGTTAATAAAAATACCACAAGTCGAGATTGCTTTAATTTTTTACTCTAGTTTTACTTTTTCATGTTTTTAATATATTAAAAATCAATGCTGAACATTTTTCCTTTTCAATCCTCTGTCCTGCTCTGACAATTTATTTGCTAAAATTAATTAAGTTCGTTGAACACGTCAGTACGTAAATACAGCCTTCATGTTTTCCTCTTTTTTGACAGTTCGCGCTGCTGACGTCGACGTGTCTGTGCGTCAATTATACCAACTGACCTCGACGAGTCTGTGCGTCAAGTGTACCAACTGACCTCGACGTGTCTGCGTCAAGTGTACCAACTGACGTCGACGTGTCTGTGCGTCAAGTGTACCAATTAACTGACCTCGACGTGTCTGCGTCAAGTGTACCGATGCTATGCCCATCAGAGCGCGCCCCGCTGCTTCTGAAACAATGTCTCAGTGACTGCAGTTAATAAAATTACCGTAAATACATATTTAACGGTCTAGGTTAACCGTCTAGCGAATACATATTTAGGATGAAATTAGATTACAAATAGATTGGAGATTTTGCTGTGATTCTTGCGCCTCTATCCATTATGATATAAAACTGTATAGGAACTAATAGAGCAGTTTTATTTTCCTGTTCTCTTCAAAATGGAATGTGTACAGAAACAGAAATGTTTAAAAAATAAACACAAATTTTTTTTAATGTTATATGGTGGAGTACTGAGAAATTTTGAAAAATATACTAGGGATGAGATTGAGAAATTGAAAGCGTAATTTTATTTTGAAATATAAAATTCCCTTCCCTTTCAAACTAAAAAACGAGAGTTAGATAAGTGTTCCTTTGTAGACGTGGATGGAACAGATACATCTAAACATTACCTAAGTTCAAAACTTACAACAGGATAGGAAGAAATGGAGAATTATATATAAACCTACATTTGCTTAATTGAATTTCAATGTCTAGAAACATTCCGTTTTCATATTAAAAAGCAGGAAGGTTTATGAAAGCTTGAACAGGCTTTTTCTTAATTAATAATCTTAGTATTTTCTTAATTAATCTTAATAGAACTAATACTAAGAATAATTATTATGATTGCTGCAACGGTGATCATGGAGCAGGAATTGTCTATCCCGAGCAACGCCGTGGTAGCTTGCCAATTAAATATGAATACCTATTAATTACCTGTCAAATAGTTGGACCGCATTTGACCATCCGGACACTTGCGTCAAAAAGTTGTCTGCAACTGGATTTCTTAAAGATATAAAGTAATTTTCCTGGGCTATATGAAATAATAATTTTCAAAATCCCATTGGCCATGGTGCAAATGAAGTATGATCATACCATCATACATCAGCCTGACCAGGTTAAATAGAGGTCTCCGCGCCATTTAATTAATAGCAATTTCATTACTTTCATTGGTGTAGGTAGCCAATGATGTGTCGAAAGTTTCCAGATCATTTTGGCTCGAAAAGCCGGCATGATTAAGTTGTCAACGAGAGATGCGAGTCAATCTCAAAATAATTTACTCAAGAGATGCGGTATCTTATCGGTCAACTGAGTACTCGCAGTCGCACCAGCTGTTCGAATAAAAATATCTGTCTGAGAAATTAAATCGATGTGAGGTAAGAATAGCTGAAAGAGCAGACCGAGCGAAAAATCTACAAAGCACATTTGCAAAACTGAAATTTAGAAATATTCCAAGTAGAAAATTGAAGAGACTAGAAAGTTCGTGCGGATGAATCGTGAGAGCTAATAAAATTAAAGAGTTTGTCCTCAAGATTCAGAGAAAATTTCTTGTTCACAGAAAACGTTACAAGCTGATCTGAAATATTTACAGCGATGGACATAGAAAAATTTCATTTTCAAACATGAGACTATTACCACAATCAGCTATTAAAATTGAAATTGAAAAGCAATTAGGTATCTGTAGTAAAAATAAGAGCATGATTTAATTATTCACGATTATTCATCATTTCAGAAATTTCGTTCATGTCCACCTAATAGCTAATGCCGAAATCCAAAAATAGACATCATCAAGACACAGGCTGTCAGGCTCAGGCTAAAAGCACAACGTGGGCTCAGTTTTAAAATATAAATATTACTTATGTTTTGGTCCGACGTCGATATTCGTAGAACAATGTGACCGTCATTGTGTTCGTTAGCGTTCGTTCAAAGCTTATTAAGCACGTTTGTGTACTTGTGCATCAATAATATATTTATTTCAGCATTCAGCCTAGAATATAAAATTTATCAATTATGTAAAAAAATTCGGCTTCTTAAGTGGCAATGCTAAATTTCCAAACTTGAATTAGCACAATGGCTCCATCGATTATCAATGGTGCTATTCTTGTTAAGTATTCCTGTCAAAAGCCAGTGGATGATCGTCCTTTTCGTACAGGCAAACCTGGAAAATGTTTCTGAATTGGTACCTTAAAATTAGCATTCATCACAAAAGTAGTTTCTACACAGACCTCATTTCAATTTGAAAATTATTTTTTGGGTTCTGTGAAACAATTTGCACTAATTGGAATCGCGCCGCGGCGTGCATCAAACCAATCAGCTTAGAACGCAGAATTCAATAATATGTTATAACAAAATCACCAAAAGATCTCATCAGAATAGATTTAGTATCACATGATCATCGGGTAAGAAAATATTTGTCGTCGCACGACCGTAGGCTAAAAATGCAGCATCACACGATGATGTGCTGAGAACCCATCTGACAATACAAAATCTGGTCAGAACAAGTAGCATCACATTATATCATAAGAAGCAATTAACCTTTACATCATTAGACAATAACACATTTAAAATCACACAGTGAGTAGCTATTTACATGCATAGCATAGCGCGATTATTGCCTAAGAACACATCAAGCATCACACAATCAGGTTGGAACATATTTAGCATCGCACTAAGTGGAGGAACACATTCAGCATGGCATTATGATTATACAGTCAGAGAACTCCTATAGCTTCGTGTTCTGAAGATCTGGTTGCCAGTGCATGGTTGGAACATATTTGACAACGGAGCATAAAATTATTTAGCGTCACATCACTTGGCCAGTATACGAGTTGCATGACAAGAACAACACATCATTGCATTGCAAGTGCCACAAGCATATCATTGAAATTAATCCTTCAAGTAATTCCCTGCATATGTGCGACGCTGTGACTTTACTATAATACATGGATCTGCGTCATGCACGCATTGCATAAATCCAAGAGACCTTGGCGCAGCCCGCATTACAACCACAACACAGTTCAGGATGTTCCCAATGGAAGCGGCCTAGAAAGACAATGGGAAATAATAATGTTTCATGAGTCGAAAAAACGGAAGCTCAATTCTGAAAGAAACCTGCAGGCATATTTCGCATCGGGGTACATACACGAGTTACGAGGTGCTCAATTTAAACACACCTCATGTTGCTATCCAATTCCAACTAAGAGAAAAAAATATGGGAAGCGTTATAACCTGAATGCATCTCGTAATTAAAAGTATTTTTCTCTTAGTATACGAAGGAAGTAAATGCTGGCAACACAAATCGATGACCGAAATGCGTCAGAGCTTATCGTCCTCGCCGACCCTTATCGATGATAAGATACGCGTTGAGTCACCAGCACGCGCCTCATTATGGCATTTCAGGCAGACGAAATATTGAGTGATAGTCAAATATTGTTTCACATATTCCAGAAAAATGAAATGAAAGAATGACGGAAGGAAGTCTCAAAAGTAATTTCAGTGATAGGAAAGGCATCGATATGAAGTTATTTGAATAAATCAAAGACCTTTTAGTCACTGCTTTTAGTCCTGCACTGCTTTTAAGTGATAAATGAGTGTCAAAATAAACTCCCTGAAAACTCTTCACTGTTCTAGCTATTACTAATACCTTCAGATTTTAGAGTGATTTTAAAATAAATTTCCAATAATTTATAGATTTATACCTTCGACATTTATATAGCATAACATATAGTTTCAATAATTATTGAAGCTTCAAAATTAAAATAGAGTTGCACCCAACGTCCCACGTAGGTATGAAGGCATCAAACAGCACGTGTGCTAAGTTATTCTCATTCAGTTTTATAATACAGCTTCAAATAAATTTGATCTCATAAAGGAGATGCGAACGATGGAAAATAGTGAATTCTCTTAGTATTCGAATTTTTTTTCAAGCAGTTTTATACGATATTTATTCAATTTAGATTGATTGTTATTAGTAATGCCTATCAAAGCCATCTTTTTAGAATACGCTGCCGACCTTAATTACTGCACAAATAGATGTGTTTTTTTTTTTTTGCTCAAGGTTACATGTGCGCAGTTGGTTGTGGTTGTGTCCCGTGGGTCGATCAAACCAATTAGTGCTGAGGCCTATAAATACTGATAACTTACTTATACTTAAACTTAAACTGATAACTTATGATCTCAAGTCGGTACGATCTATCCGGCTGTCCCCTTCCTCATGGTGCCCTGAAAATTGCTCCAGCCGCCTAATATATGCACGAGTATTAGTATACTAATAAACGCGCTGGTGGTGGCAGTGCAAAGCGTCACCTTATTGAAGTATCAAATTTCAATATTTGTCATCCATCGGCCACTGGGTGATCAATTGCACGATTTCATAAGCAAATATACAAATAAAAGAATCTTTGTATTGGTTCGCTGCTAACGTTTAGCCTTCAGCCTCAGGAATCACGATGACGAACTGATTTATGGTACTGAACGTCCGGTCATGGCTAGAGGCGTGTACGATTAACTCGATAAAAATGATAGAATTATTGAAAAAATAACTGAATATTTATTTCCTTTTTGTCTCTTTACAGTACATAAAAACCTAAGTTAATTTTACGATTTCCGATACAATGAAAGGAATGACTATCACGCCATTCAGTCACATTGTTATTGAATTGAATGGCGTTAATCTCCTCAATGATATCCATTTCCGAGTGAATACGATTCAACGATGAAATTCAATTCAACGTCAAGTGCTGAACAATATATTGCAGAATTGGTGAAGTGAAGCTCATAGCCAAAAGTCGGCAAGTCTTAGATCGACAATAATCATGGTCTTTAATCATCAAAATTACCAGCACACATCGCATGGAATTTCAGGAGTCAATTGAAAAATGAAAAAGTCACGACTGCACGAATTTCTATGCGTTGTCCTATGTTCGTCAAATGAACGTGTAATTTACCCTTTCGATTAGGACATAATGGAATTTGCTTTCATTGATTCAGCGTACAATTGTACTTTGTAAAAGATGTCTGCAAGACTCGCAATTGTTGCTCGCCTTCAATATACTGCAGGCACCATCGAGAAGTAGCTTCTTTATCCCGGACAATTGAAGCAGTTCTAGAGAAAGTTCTGAGTATCTGGGGCCATTGATCGCGTCTAATTCGCAACATGCAAATCAAGCTCGTATTTTTCACGGTCTTATAAACGAAGTGGTGAGAAAAAAGCTACTCCTCTAAAAGCTGAACTCTGTCCTTCTCGTTGTTAAATAATTCGATGTACAAAAACAAAGCTTGAACATTAACACATGCCGGATACAATTGGCGAAGTAAACTTAAAACCAAATTCTCAGTGTAGTATAAACATTATAGATAC